AATAAATTTCATATATAAATAAAAAAATAATAAAAAATAAAAAATAAATAAAATTAAGAAGATTGTATCAAGTGTTGACAAGAAAAATTGGAACTCCCATATACTTCCGGTGGGAATTTAAAATAGTAGAACTGTTTTGGAGTATTGTTTGGCAGTTTCCTAAAACAAAGTCTAGAAAATGCCATTATCTAGAGTGACACAGAGTAGATCAGTAGTTGCTTGGAGACTGTGGTCTCAGCAGAAATCTCTATAAAGCAATATTTCTCAAAGTTAGGGCTTTGGACCTTATGCATTAGGATCATTTAGGAAGCCTTATTTGAAACTGCAGTCTTAAATTCAGTGTGCTCAAACTTATATGCTACTTATGCAGAGGACAGTTAGAAAAAGGTGAAATCAGGTAATATAGAGTCAGCACAATTAGGAAAATAAATGTGTTTGCTATATGCAAGTTTGTACTTGTTGAATAATGGAATTGTGGTAAGTTGATTGATGGCCTGATTTAAGAGTACAAGGTAAAAATAGTTACATAAATTAGTTGAGCCTCATTTTTTTCATATAAAACTGGAGATGATAAAACTTCAGAATTTTTATTTATTAAAAACATTTTTTCACATTTATTTTTGAGAGACAGGGAGAAGAGTGAGTGGGGGAGGGGTAGTGAGGGGGGGGTACACAGAAGCTGAACCTGGCTCCAGCCTCTGAGCTGTCACGCGGGGCTCGAACTCACGAACCGTGAGATCATGACCTGAGCTGAAGTTCGATGCTTTACCGACTGAGCCACCTGGGTACCCCAAACTTCAGAATTTTTAAAGGATTAAATATTGTGTGTAAAAGTACATACTACTCTGCCTTTTGAGTTTACAGAAAGTGTTTGGATAGGATTAATATTTATATTATTTATTTATTATTAAATCCTTATTTTGGAGTTTAAAATTATTTTCATATATTTTAAATCTTATTTTTATTTGTATTATGTTATAGTTTATTAATAATTATTTACATTTTATCTTTAAATATATTTGCATGTGTTATTTGAAAGACTCTGTCCTTTACCAAAGAGATATGCTAGATTTTTGTGCCAACCATGCTGTCTTGATGA